ACTTATCCGGCACTTCGAGCCGAATAACTACCGCTACCTACAAGGTAGCTAATAATATTGGGAACCAAATTTGATTTGTGATTCGGGACTCCTGCGGAGCCCCAAATCAACCAATCAAATTTGATTTTCCCAATATAATAGTTATTCGGCACTTCGTGCCGAATAACTATTAATTATCGAGAATATTATTTTACTGAAAATTTGTTTTTACAACATTATAAGTCGTAGTAAATATTGTTTTGTGCTAAACAGAGTTACACAAAACCAAGTTTTAATTCCAAATTTGGCAATTATTAATTTAATGACTTTTTTTTATTTTCGATAGCACAATTATTACGCAGAATGGTACAAAAAAATTTTATTGTATGCTATCTTTCATTTTGATTAGGACCATGAACAAGCAAGAATAAGCATTATAATCGCGCTTATAAACACTGAAATTATGGGTGTTAAATTTTAAATGGATATAAAGATGTAGATTTTAACTTACGATTTGCATGAAGGGAGGTAAGAGTTTTCATTAATTTTAAAATTTATTATAGAGTTTTAATGAACAAATATCATTATTTATGTGCATCGAAACTTTAATAAAAGTATGTTAATAAATTCATAAATTTAAAATATTATACTGATTTATAAACAAATAATAAACTGTATACAAGAAAATGATCGTTTGCTATAAATATCGAATTACGAACTAAGTATATAAATCAACTTTTGAGAGTTGATCTATGTTACTAATAATAATAATAATAAATAAAGTTAATACACAACACATTAAGATAAAATGATCTTTGGAACTTCATCAAGCCGTTTCTTCGAAGTAGAAAATTAATAACGAGAAGATCCTTGAGTACTGGACTGGAAGAATTTCCAAACCGTTCTTGTCGAAGTAGGAAAAAAAATTTTTGTGTTTCGTTTTACATGATTTACATGATTGAGCATTGATTTGTAGGATTAGGCTTTTTTGTAAATTCAGACGAAACAATGACAACTGGATTTGCTGTGAAATTGTTAACAGTAGTTGGATTCATTTTATTTTTTTTTGTAAGTTTTAATTATTTTATTTGTTATATTGGTATTTTTTTATTTGATAAGGAAACTTGGAGAGATAAAGTGGTTATATTTATAATAAATTAAGTTGGTATTTACTTGCGAACGATAAAAATTCAAAATTTTAAAACTTATTTTAGTATTGTATGCAATTGCAATTTAGCCTTAAATTTGATTGTTCAATACGCCATAATACCTTAATTTGTTATAATATTAAAGAACAATTATTCATATAGAGATTTCTGATCTGATAGTAATATAAATTTGTTTCAATGAAAATATTCTGAGTTTAAAAAGTAAATCAATGTAAGGAAAGGGTTGGGTAGGTCAACTTTTATTCCAAAAAAGGAAAATATTTTCTTATTTCGCATTCTTTTTAAAAATTTTTAATTATCAAAGTTAAGGATAATTTATTTTTGGTTTTATATAAATCCATTATATTACTTTGTTGTTCCATTGAACAAATCCTATTTATAGTGAAAAAAAATTTAATCATTGTTCTTGTTTCAAATTAATACGATCTGAGAACGCAACGTTTCAAATCCTATTAATAGCATTTTGTCACCCTGATATGGGTGATGGATCTGCCGTGTCGCCTTACTATGACGAATTTGTGAATAAAAAAATTTAGAAAAACAAATAATAGTTTATGGTATTACATAAAACCTTTATCAAAAATCTTTATATTCGTAGTAAACGACAATTTACTATTTTTTCAAAATCCTTCCTTACTATTTGATAAAGATATCTTGAAGATGTAATCGTCCTTGTGTATCAATTTGATACGACAATCTTGGACCATAAGTCGTTTAAGGTGGAATTATGAGAATAATATATTGGTCATTAGGAGGTATAGCGTTTACAAAATTTAGAAAAAGTCACATTTAAAAAAAAGCAAAATAAAAAATTATTATTCATTATTATTGTTACCAGGCAGGAAGTTTTTATTTTTCACTTAAACTGGATAACTTGGATAATACTGGAGTCGGCTCTCAGTCAATCTTTAAACCCTTTCAATTGACTCTTTTTTGAAATTGGCAACCATAATTGTATTAATATTGTCTTAATATTTAACAAAAAAATTTTTTAAATTTAATTAATTTTGCAAAAGTGAATATTATAAGTTTAACCAGAATAAAATTGTTAGGATCCCACTACTTCGTCTAAATAACATTTGATAATTTGTTTAATTGAATACTTCGTTTCGGCGATGTTCTGACATCATCTCAAATTTGGCTGGTTAAATTATGTAATACACACGATTATAATATTAAATTTAATAAAATTTCAACTTTCATCCCTACCTTGATAAGGATGGTAATGACTACACATTCAATTTACAAATTGTATTGTATTTCAGTAGTGGGCCAAACATGAAAAGACGTCCTAAAGCACTGTAACAACTCCATTCATAAAAAATTATTACTTATTTTTTATTCGACCCAAGTTTTCAGAAAAAAAAGGAAAAATGAATATTCAAAAAATTAAAATAACCATGAACTTGTTCACGTGTCAGTGATATAAATCATTTCTAAATTAGGAAAGCATAAAAAAGGAAAGTTAAAGCTCGCGCTTGCACAACAGCAAAAAATAAATGTATATTTAATTTAATAAAATTATTTTATGAAATTTTTGAATATTTAATTGCTTGCTGAGAATATAATAAAAAAGCAAAATTTAAATATTTCTTATTTCATTTCATCATTATAATTATTTAATTAATAAAGACGACATAAAATTCAAAGGCATCTCTTTTCTTTTTTTTGAAGAATATTTTCTTTCTTTTAAAAGTAAATGATTAGGCGAAGAACCATGCTATTCGGAAGCAAACATGCTTTGATTAATCATATATCTCGTACTACAATTATTTTATCAATGGAGTGGTGTTACGATTGGTTAAGATGTACTATTTAGCGTTTAATATTTATATTTTGGAAGTTTTTAATATTTATCATTTGTTAAATGCTTAGTTTCAATGTTTCTGATGTTGCCTCCTATTTCATAAGTTAAAACGATTGCATCGATTTATGATGTAACTAAAATTATGCGAATTCAATAACGAATTTATAAAGGATTAAAAGAAATAAATTATTAAAGGAATGTCACAAAACAACTATTATTGCCTAACCGGCTCTCTGTAATAGTCACATTGGAGAATAGACAACATATCGAAAACTAAAAGCAAAACGAAGCTTTTTATAACCATGGATTAGTTACGAAATGCATTTAAATATAATTGATCCCGAATGTAAAAATGACCAAATAGACATAATTCCCATCAATCAGTTGGGATCGAAATGGTAAGATTCCCATCAATCAGTTGAGATCGAAATGGTAAGAAAGGTCATTTCGCCAGAAATGACATTGATCAATCGTCTCCTTTCCGCCTCTATTTCCCCTTCAAAATGAAAATAGATTATAAAAGTTATAATAATAGTAATAAGATTGAAAAAATCTTAATATTAAATGTAGCTTACTTTCTATCGTACGCATCCCCTACTCGAGAACATTAATTTCGTGTATACCCGACTAATGGATTCAAATCATCCTACACGAACTTTCACAAACACCGACGATACGTTGGTGGTCGCTCTTGTTGTCATCGTTGTTGTTGTAGACGTTACTGTCAAATCTGTTGGTGCAGCAATTCCATTTTTTGCTGCTCTTCCCGCTTTCTTTGTCGACGTATTTGTTTATTGTCGTTTAAAAACTCCTTCCTACTAGTTCTTCCCATTTTTCATGTTAAGTTGCGAAAGTGAATAAGTTATGTGGCGAAAATCTTATAATTTTTCTTTTTATTTCTAAGAAAAAGATGATTCTAAAATAAAGATTTACAAGATAAAATTTACTTACTTCAACGTGATAATTGCACAAAAAAAAGACCTTATAAAAGTCAAAAATAAATGGCTTTATCCGCCTACAATTTTTTTTTCCTGATTACGTTCAACTCTCTTTATAACGAATGAAATCTGGATATAACGAACTTTATATTTTTATATTTTGCATGAAAATATAAACTATTCGTGACGTGAATAATATAAATAGTTTACGCGATTACAGATCTTAACCATATAATTTAATCCTTCACACATGATTACAAATATAAAATATTTTATATTTATATGCATTGCACAACTCCAATTGGTATATTTAAGATTTGGCACCCAAATTTATAGTGCCGGCATGAGTTAAATTTAACTGGTTAAAGAATTTTTTAACCGATTAATTTAAAAATTAAATTAAAGTCAGAAGTGTACTAGACTTGCTATTTTTAGTAATAATAATTGTGGAATACATACGCTATTCTTACATAATGTAAAAGAAAAAAAAAATTTCTATCTTTCTCAAATTTTCGTGCTTTTGTAGTAGTTTTCCATTCTGTACATTATTCACGATATATCGCTTGCCTGAACATTGCTTGCCTTACTGTTTAGGCATATTAGTCATGCTATTTTATTTTTTTTTTAGGCCAAAAATATCCCAATTTGTCAACATAAAAATTTGAACGTCATATTTATTGATATCGATATATAAAAGTTAATACGCAACGCGACGCGCGTAAATTTATACTATATAAACTCCCAATACCCCAAAATTTCAATAAATACCTTTTTACTTGTAGCAAGATTATTTTTTAAAAATACAAAGTAAAAAGATTCCGTGGTACAAAATTGCAATAAATGGTTAACGTAAAAACACAGAATCTTTGACTGCAAAAACTAGTTATCATCATTAGAGATTTAGAACGCTATATATATAAAAATAAAACATAGGACCTATATAATCAACAACAATAATTGAAGATCAGTGATAGGCCGTTAACCTTTTCCCTATCCATGCACAGAGGTACAACTTCGCAATGAACTGTTAACGTAAACCACGGAATCTTTGACAAAAGGAAAACGCACCTGGCTATAAAAACTAGTCATGAACTTTAATACTCTCATGTATCGAAGGAAAAATGAATTTCACTACAACATTCTAAGAAATAAATATAGGCGATTATATAGAGGAGGGAAATGATAATATAGAAGAGGTAAAAGAAGGTGAAAATAAGAATAAGAATACATGCAGGGGATGAAATATAATAAGCGATATATGAGAAGGAAAGAAAATAAAAGGTAGAGAAATAAGAAGAGTAAATAAAAGTAAAGTAGAGGAAAAAAGAAGAGCAAGTGTGAAGGTGAAGTTGTCGAAGTTGAAATATAAAAAAAAAAAAATAAATAAACACAAATTAGCCAATGAACATGATGATAATCTTTGCATACGTCATATATAGTATGTAGTATTTGTCAAAATGATATCATCATTTTTTGGAAAAAATGTTATTTTTGCTAAGATTGTTGAAATAAATTTAAAAAAAAAAATTGTCAATGCATATTAATTAACCATGTTACAATCTCGAGGAATTGAAATTATCAAAATTACAGTAATTTAATAAAAATATTATGCTAACTGTGTCCGACAACAGCTGTGATTGTAAGTTTTTAACTCTTTTTCTCGAGGTCTTAGAAACGTTCTTTTATTTAAGAGACGAGATTTACAATCTCTTAGATCTCTTAGATGTATTAAGAAGTAGATATGATTTCATAAAATCATAATCGCGACTATTAATTCACTCGAAAGATCAAATTTCTGTATAAAAAGAAAAAAGGAAAAGCGAATAAGTTTATCTTGTATAATAATTTTTTTTTTTACGAACCTTCCTTTGTTAATTCTAATCTTCTTGCCTTAATTTAGTAAATAACCAATACTTGGATTCTATTCTACGCTAGTAATTTTGCAATACAATTCGATTAGATCCACAATTGAAAGGCTGATTACAGATTTTTCAAATCAATCTAACGATTCGATAATACCATCAAGGTAATGTGATTTAATAGGTGAATGTGATAATACCAATTGTTCTTTTGATAACTAAAAAAAAGATTCTATAAGGATGAGACCATATAATAACTTTGAAACTACAATGTAACTTAACTTACAACAAATTGGAGAAAGTTCTTCGGCCTTTCTGTTTTCTGTGACACCACCACCTTTCGTTAATAAAATGAAAAAAAAGAATTTATCTTTAATCGATAAATAAAGTGAATATATTTTAATGGAAAATATCGTTTATAATCATCACTTGATAAATATTATTTACTTTTTTTTTAATAAAAAAAAATATAATAATACTCATTTTTAGCTGTTGTTTCACTCAGAATATTTAATGCAGCTACTCCCCAGATATAATTGAAGTTATTCAGGATATTTCAGTAAAATTAATAATAGCAAAAAATCGACATACACACCTTGATCAAAATGCCGTCGATATCTAAACATACGCCAAATTATGATGAACACCAAAGATGGATTGTTACAATAAATGGAATCGAGGATAATTTGCACAAATCGTACGACAAAAACAAAATGATATTTCGTCATAATATTATTTTCTTTCGGCATCAATTTAATAAAAAGAGACAACTGTATATTATAAGTTTTAGTGATGTAATATATAATTTTAAATAATATAATATTTTTTAAGGATTATTTTTTTATATATAGTATTGTAAAGAAATATCGAATGCCTATCGACTCCTTGTTTCGGAGGTCACGTTTGCAATTATAACCTCAAATAGAAACTCGTCATCAAACAGACACCCACGTAGAGGTTGGAACCGATATTTAACCTTCGATTTTAAATCCGGTTTCCTTCGATTTGAATTTATTTTCATCCGAATA